TGCAAGGCAAATGCCCTACCCGCTGTGCTATCTCTCCAGTCCCTCTGAGCATTTTTAAGTGCAGATAACCATTGCTTTTTCTCCTGCCTACATCACCCGATTTCCCTATTGATATTCACATTTCTGAAATAAGACTCACTATTTCTTTAGTTTTTTTTTCTTTTGGGGGGTCAAACCAGTGATGCTTGGGGGTTACTCCTGGCTTTGCACTCAGAACTTACTCCTGGCGGTGCTCAGGGGACCATATGGGATGCTGGGAATCAAACCCAGATCAACTGCGTGCAAGGTAAACGCCCTACCTGCTTTATTATAGCTCCAGCCCCTCTCTATTTCTTTAGGTTTTAAGTCATCATTTAAAAGGCCAGACAACTTGTACAGGGGTTGAGACTCTTGCCTTGCATGCAGAGAAGCCAAGTTTAGTCCTTGGCACCTCCTAGGGTCCCCCAATACTCCAGAAATGAGTACAGAGCCATGGAGGACCATTCCCTGTCTCCCCATGGCAAAAAAGAGATTCTTTACTGTGTGGTGCCAAGAGTGATTCATTGGACCCTAGAGTGGACAGTGCTTTACTAAGAAGCCGTTGCTGTGGTCTCCTCCCATCCTTCTTTATTCTGATCCTCTCCCTGTTGTTAACATGACAGGAGAGCTGTCACCGCTGCCTTGTGCCAGACGGGCTCCCAGGGACCAGTGGGGCTGAAAAGATCTCTGAGGAAAGTACAAAGATGGCTGAGCTTTCTGGGCCTCGGTGACCTCTGCTGAAATGAAGGGTGGGAAAGAGTTTCCTTTTCACGCCCTTTTTTTTTTTTTTGGTAGGAGTACTGCTGTTTATTCAGCCACTGATTAGCTGATTGAATTGTGCATGAACTCCACCTTACTTTTTTTTTTCATTTTTTATAATTTTATTTATTGAATCACCGTGAGAGCAGTTACAAAGCTTTTGGGTCTAGGTCTCAGTCATACAATGAAACACCCGTACCTTCACCAGTGCCCATTCTCCACCACCAAAAACCCTTGTATACTCCCATCCCACACCCTCCCCCCACCTGTGGGGCAGATGATTTCCACATTACTCTCTCTCTACTTTGATCACATTCAATATTTCGACACCAGACCCACCATTATTATTTGAGATCTTACCCCAACATTCAGATATGCTGAAAAGGCAACAATAGACAATTTGTGTTCTATTGCTGGTTATGAATAACATATGATGTCGCGTGGCTGCAGTAGGGCCATGTGATTTTGAAATTCCAAAATTTTAACTCTTAAATCTGGAGGGATTACTGCCAAAAGCCACTGGGTTTCAAGATTTGCTCCTGAGTCTCTGGGATCATGGCTGTTGAGCTGCTTGATCAGGAGCCAGAGAGGCCGTTTGTGGGCGATGACTTGTGATCTCGTTGGGGTGGGGAGGACAGGCCCGGCTCCATCCCGTGAAGCCCAACAAGTTTCATCACTGCGGGCCCAAGCTAGACTGTCCAATGGCCTCTGGAGGATGGCGGCCACCGAGCCACCAGGGGGAAACAGGCGGAGGGACAGCACCCTTTCCCCACTGGGGTGGCCCGGCGACAGTAACGTACTGTGGGGTCCGGACGCATTTCTGCCAAAAGCCACTGGGTTTTGAGATGTTTCTGAGTCTCTGGGATCATGGCCATTAAATGGCTTGATCAGGAGCCAGAGAGGCCATTCGTGGGTGATGACTTGGGGTCTCGTTGGGGTGGGGAGGACAAGCCCGGCTCCACCCCCATCCTGTGAGGCCCTGTGTGTCTCGTCACTGGGGGCCCAAACCTGACTATCCAGTGGCTTCTGAAGGATGGTGGCCACTGGGCCGCCAGGGGGAACAGGCCAAGGCACGAAACCTATTCCCACCTGGGTTGGCCCAGCACCGGTAACCTACTGCAGGGACCAGATGCATTTCTACCTAAAGCCGCTGATTTCCAAGATTCGTTTCTGATTCTCTGGGATCATGGCCATTAAGCAGTTCAATCAGGAACCAGAGAGTCCTTGCCTCCAATTATATAGCTGAGCCAGAGGTGGTTTGTGAGTGTGTTTCCCACATACCTAACTTTTGGCTGTTTACGTTCTTGGTAAACTTTGCCCCAAGTTTTTGGGGTCTGGCCAAAGGCACAGCAGCAATTTTGGGGTATCTGGAAGTCTGAAGGTGCCATCAGGCTGCTGATGCACTCGCCTCACAGGTACAGATTGACCTGCTGGCGGCACCATACCCCCTCACGCCGTCTTTTAATAGCAGAATGAATGTGAAAAGTCGGTCAACTCTTGGGTGTCAGACGGAATGTGGCTTCTTTCCAGAGTTGGCTTGTATAGGGCCTCCTTGCTTCAGCTGCAGGTGGATAGCTCTTCCTGGCCTCGATGTCGAACTCCTTCCTGACAGGGAAGACTTCATTTATCTTTGCATCCCCGCTCCTGAGACAGAACTGTAGGCCTTGAAGTACTCATATTTTTTACTTAATGTGTGTGGTGGCCAGGAGAATAGGCCATTCATGGTTCCAGCGAGGAGGCATATGTTACTGATAGACCTCAGTTTGCTTTTCCCTTGGGTCCAGCACCACAGCAAACTGAAGCTGCATGTCCTCTGGGCTATCCCAGCTGAAAATTGAGCACAACGCCGGTCACTGATGCAGGTGTAACCTGGTAAAAAGTAAAAGTAAGTAAAGGCCCTCCCGTTGATTATCGATTTGCTCGAGCGGACCCAGTAACGTCTCCATTAGAGACTTTGTTGTTACTGTGTTTGGCATATCGAATACGTCACGGAGAGCTTGCAGGCGAGATACTCTCGGTAGCTTGCTGGGCTCTCCGAGAGGGGCGGAGGAATCGAACTCGGGTTGGCCATGTTCGCTGCGTGCAAGGCAAACGCCCTACCGCTGTGCTATCGCTCCAGCCCTGGTGTAACCTGGTGAAAGTGGGAAACCTTTGCTTGATCAGGTCCCTTTGATCTTGCTTAACCTTTCTTTTCTTTTTTTTTTGGGGGGGGGGGCACACCCGGCAATGCTCAGGGTTTGCTCCTGGCTCTGCACTCAGGAATTACTTCTGGTGATGCTTGAGGGACCTTATGGGGCCAGGGCATGAACCTAGGTTGGCTGTGTGCAAGACAAACGCCCTGTCACTGTTCTATCATTCTCACCTTGGCTTTACCTTTCTTGGAACTGTACTACAGACTTTGTCCAAATATCCTCCTTCTCTCCCTTCCTCCCTCCCTTTCCACTTTTTTTTTGTTTTGTTTTGTTTGGGGGCCATACCTGGCAATGTTCGGGGATCATTTCTGGTGGGGCTCAGGGGACAATATGGAGTGCTGGGGATTAAACCTGGGTCAGTTCTGTGCAAGGAAAGATCCCTATCCATCCTACTATTGCTACAGTCCTGTGTATCAGCCAACCCAGCTTTCTTTAACATGGTCTGACAACTCTTCTTTTCCTGCTTCCTATGCAATGATCACTTGCATGTCTGTCCCATCGTGGCATCTTCTGGGAAGATCTGAACTAATACAATGTCAGAGAATAAGCGAGTCTCTGTAAAGAAGACTAGAGACCAGTTATGTTGGAAGATATTAAAGGACACCTATGATATGTACCATATGGTCCCCAACATCTCAAGGATTAACACCCAGACATAGAATTGGGAATAGCCTTCCATACTTCTAGGTGTGGCCCCAAAACAAAAATGAAAAAGAAATGAAACTCGTTAGTAGAGGCAAGAGGCATAGCTCAGAAGGCCAGAGCAAAGGCTCTGCATGGAGCAATCTTAGATTGATTATTTTCATGTGGAGCTTAAATATCACATGCTCAAAGGTAACTTTTCTTTTTATCTTAATTAGGTCAGATGCTCCAACACAGCTTCACACCATCCACTGCGCTTTTGTAGTGCTTATAACAATCACAATCTTTCATTTATTTGAGATTATTCATACAACTCTTTTGACCAGTACCCAGATAGGGGAAAAGAAAGTAAATTGTTTTGTTCACTGTGGTAGACTGGCATTTAGTAGATATTCTACTAAGAGCATAGAGTAGATACTCAGGATATTTGTGAAAGTATTGGAGGATGAGGAGAATTGTTCTGGAGTACAGTTTGTGGTCTGGAGTTTGACTTTACCCAATTTACAAATACTAAGTTAGCTTGTTCCTTTGTCACAAAGGACTTTATTACTCATATCTCTGTTTCTGCTTCTTTCATCCAGTATGTTAATTAAAATTAGCATTCTCCTCCTCCTCCTCCTCCTCCTCCTCCTCCTCCCCCTCCTCCTCCTCCTCCTTCTCTTCCTCCTCCTCCTTCTATTATTATTATGATTTCTACTACGACGACGACTACTACTACTACTACTACTACTACTACTACTACTACTGGGTTTGGAGCCAATAGTGATCTGTATTCATGAGTGACCCCTTGTAGTGCTCTGGGAACCATATGTGATGCAGGGATTCGAACTGGAGCTGTTAGTGGTGCAGCCATGAGGTTGATGCCTTCTCTCCTGTCCTACCTCTCGGCCCCAGCACTAACTGCTATAGTGTGTATTATTTCAGGCTGCTGACCAACTGTAGAATAACTTGGACCGTCAGTACTTCATCAGGCAGCAATGCTGGTCACTCATGCTGACAACTATGTTTCTAACAATTAAGTGACTTTCCTTTAGTGTCTAGGACTCATCAGAGTGTGAACTAGCAGGCCAGGAAGTGAGTCAGTCAAACATATGCCTTGTAAGTGTGATACAGCCCTGAACTCAATTCTCAGCCTCCCTCCAGTGCCCCCACCCCTTGCAAAGGTGAAGGAGAGGTAAGAGAGGAGGGCAGACCTCTCCTGGCTTCCCCATGCAAAAGGCCCTAATTACAATCTAGTTTGCTCATGCAAAGGCTTTTCCATGGTGATAGCTAAGTGGGGTGAGATGTGGTATAGGCACCAGAACTGCATCTTCAGCCGATACTTTATGGAGGAGCCACACTGCTTGGACGTGTCCTCATGCCTCAACTTGACTGCTTCTCTTTTTTCAGTGAACGTGGTGGAGGCCCTTCAGGAATTCTGGCAGATGAAGCAGTCCCGGGGGGCCGACCTGAAGAACGGAGCTCTGGTGGTCTATGAGATGGTCCCCTCCAGCAGCCCTCCCTATGTCTGCTATGTCACCCTGCCTGGGGGCAGCTGCTTCGGGAGTTTCCAGGTAGGAGGCATAAGACCGAGTGAGATGGAAGGATGGATGGATGTTCAGGTGCTGCTCGTGGTGACTTTCTCTGTGACTTTGGCCATAGGCTCTTTGTCTGCAATCACATATTTAAGAACCGCAGCTCACTCCAGGGAAGTCACTCTGTTCGCATCTGAAGCCCGTTGGACCACAGAGCATGCTTTTACTTCAGCCTGCAAACACTCAAACCCGTTTTGTGTTTGTGGGCTACTCCTGGCTATGTGCCCGGGGGTTCCTATGGTGTCAGGGATCAGACCTGCACACCAAGTCCTTACTCTGCCTTTACTCTTTATATTAGGCCACTCATAAACACTTCCTGGTCTGGTCTCCCACCTTCCCGCTTTCTCACTGTGAGGACATGGAACTGATGCTGTTCAGGGTCCTTTTTCCAGACAGTTACTCAAGAAAGCAATGTTTAAGTTTGCTGGGAGGTGAGGTATTCTGTGCAACTGAAGTGATGCTCACCTAAAGAGGTAGGGGTCCAGATTCTGACTCGCCTAAATGTGAAATTTCTACTTCTCTGGACTTCAGTTCCCCATACACCAGCCAGGAAGCAGTATAGTTCAGCTCTAAAGAAAAGTGAACTTTTACAGTTTACTGCAACTTAGCTGGAACTGGAGTGCATTGCACCAAGAAAAGTAAGTCAAAGGGAACAGGACAAATGCTGAATTATCTCACTCATCTGTCGAATGTAAAGAAACACGGTGAATGGGAGGTCCTTTGGGACATCAGTGAGGTAAAGGTGTGGGATATATAGTATATATCTAAACCATAGAATCAACAACACCACAAGCAGGAGACCCAGAATACAGCAACTAAACTTAAAAATGTTTAATAAATATGTTATGGCCAGGGGCTGGAGAAATAGTATAGCAGGTAGGGCACTTGCCTTGCACACAACACCACTAACTTGTGTTTGATCCTCAGCATCCCATATTGTCCCTAAGCACTGCCAGGAGTAATTCCTGAGCACAGAGCCAGGAGTAAGCTCTGAGCACCACAGGGTACCCTCCCCCCACAAAAAAAATGCCTGCCAAGGAGTCAGGCTGGGGGTTGGGAGAGAAACTGGGGCTACTGGCACTAGTGATAGGATTGGTGCTAGTCCATTTGTATTTCTGAAACTCAACTATGAATAACTTTGAAAATCACAGTGCCTTAATTAAAAAAAATTAGTAAGAGAATATACAATGGCCAGTGAAGACTGGGCCTTGGAGTCCATATGTAGAACTGAATTATTAAGCAGAGGGGAGGCCATGTGGTAACTCTGTGTTTCTGAATATCAGGGATTTTTTGTGGTTTTATTTTTTTTGGGGGGGAAGGTCAAATCCAGCGGTGCTTGCTCAGAGATCACACTTGGCAGGCTTGGGGAACCATATGGGGTGCCAGGAATTGAACCCAGGGCAGCTGTGTGCAAGGCAAACACCCTACTGGCTGTACAATTTCTGGCCCAGAGACATCAATTTTTTTAGTTTAGTTTTTTTGTTGTTGTTGTTTTGGGGCTACACTCTGCAATGCTCAGGGCTTACTTACTCCTAGCTGTGCGCTCAGGAATCACTCCTGGCAGTGTTCAGGGAACTATATGTGATACTTGGCATCAAACCCAAGTTGACCATATGCAAGGTAAGTGTCCTACACAGCGTGCTATCTCTCTGGCCCTGAAACATCAATTTTAAAATGGTAGTAAGTCATGGTGGTGCCTAAATAAAAATAAATAAAAACACAAAGGACTTAAGTTAGGTCATTTCTAAATTGCTTTCTAATATTCCCAGTCTACAACTGCAAGAAAGGTTGATGACATGATAAGAAAAGAAGTAATTTCTCATCCAATGTAGTGAGAAACTTGGCCGAAATAAAAAAAACTTGGCTAATATAATTGAGGCTAACATAATTGACAGGAGCAATAGCACAGTGGTAGGGCGTTTGCCTTGCACGCAGTCGACCTGGGTTTGATTCTTCCGTCCCTTTCGAAGAGCCCAGCAAGCTACCAAGAGTATCCCGTCCATATGGCAGAGACTGGCAAGCTCCCGTGGCGTATTTGGTATGCCAAAAACAGTAACAACAAGTCTCACAGTGGAGACGTTACTGGTGCCCGCCCAAGCAAATCGATGAACAACAGGAGGACAGTGCTACAGTGCAATATAATTGCAGATAGGAAATCACCTGCTTGAAATGCCAACTTAGAATTTTAATAGGAATTTAGATACCACACACTTTTGTTGTGTTTTCCATGTCTATGGTTTGTGAGACTCTTAGACAAAGCTGTTGCCGCTGTTGTGTGCTGCTATACCACCCCAAGTTCTACCATCACATCCCTGATCACAGTATATCGTGACCAACTATCTCTCCTGGTGCCCATCGCCACGGAGGTAGATGGTTTCTGTCTTCCTTCTTGTTCCATTTAGTTCCCTACCACTCAATTCAGTGTCCAACACAGAGTAGGAACTTAATACGTCTTTTCCACTAGTGAGTGTAGTTCAATTCCTGCCTCAAACAGAAATAGCCCAAGGGAAGTTTCATGAACACTGTGTGGCTCGGAGTTGGGAAGATGGCTCAAAGAGCTGGAGCAAGTATGGAATGTACAGGTTCATCCCTGTGCTGCTGGGAGTTTCCTGATATAAAACCAAAACAAGGGGCTGGAGCAATAGCAAAGTGGGTAGGGCATTTGCCTTGCATGCGGCCAACCCGGATTCGATCCCTGACATCCCATATGGTCCCCGAGCACTGCCAGGAGTCATTCCTGAGTGCAGAGCCAGGAGTAACCCCTGTGCATGGCCGGGTGTGACCCCCCAAAAAAGGGGAAAAAAACCCCAAAACAAAAACAGGTGGCTAAATTCGTCCCCCACACCCCCGCAAAATCCTTATCATTTCAGAAAATATGCTCAGGATGACTAATGTTTACATTTTCTCTCCTACAAAATAAGTTCCTTCTACTCCCTTCTCATCATATTGGTTGTACAATGATGCTCATAACCAGAATATGATAGAAATTGGATTTCTTTTGTTTCCAGAACAGGATTACCTATCTTGATTTCTATTACCATAAATTTTATATTTTCTATTTAGCGGGTGACATTTTTCCAGTAGTTTCTTCATAGATGCCTTTCCAGAAATAGCACTTCCCTGTAGAGTGGGCATCAGACTTGTAAATATAAAAAGAAGTGGAAACAGAAATTGAAGGAGTATGGGCCGAATAGATAGATCAACAGGCAGAGCATTTGCCTTACTAATGGCCAACTCTAGTTTGATCCCTGGCACTCTAAACTGTCTCTTGAGCCTTGTCAAAAGTGATCCCTGAGTACCACCAGGCCTGGTCACAAAACAAAGTAATTGAAGGAGCAGTAAGACAGGGTCACAGTATTGAGATCTATAAGCTGTCTCCAAAATTTGTCAGTTAGGGGGCTGGAGAGACAGGACAGTGGGAAGGCACTTGTCTTGATCAATCCCTGGCTTTCCACATGATGCCATAAGACCTCCAGGAATGATGCCTGAGCACTGCACTGTCACTGACACTGTCTTCCTGTTCATCGATTTGCTCGAGCGGGCCCAGTAACGTCTCCCTCGTGAGACTTAATGTTACTGTGCTTGGTATATTCAATATGTCATGGGTAGCTTGCCAGACTTTGCCGTGTGGGCAAGATACTCTTGGTAGCTTGCTAGGCTCTCCGATAGGGGCGGAGGAATTGAACCCGGCTTGGCCAGGCCAGCTGCATGCAAGGCAAATGCCCTACCACTGCACTATCGCTCCAACCCCAGGAATAATCCATGAGCACCACCAGGTGTGTCCCCCAAACAAAAACAAACCAAGAAAACAGTCAACTAAAATAAATGTGGCATTATTGATATTAAAGATAAGTAGCAAGTACATACTTTTAAAAACTATAATATTGCTCCAGGCTGGAGCGATAGCACAGTGGGCAGGGCGTTTGCCTTGCATGCGACCAATCCAGGTTCAATTCTTCTGCCCCTCCCAGAGAGCTCAACAAGCTACCGAGAGTATCTCACCTGCACGGCAAAGCCTGGCAAGCTACCCATGATGTATTCGCTATGCCAATCACAGTAACAAGTCTCAATATTACTGGGCCCGCTTGAGCAATTTGATGAACAACGGGAGGACAGTGACAATACTGGTCAAGAGACTTAGTACAGGGGACTGTGTTTGCTTACATGTGCCTGGCTGCAGTTCAGTCCCTGGCAAAGCATCTGATCCCTCAAACATACCAGGTTTGCCTCCCAACCAAGAAAAATCAATTAGTTTTTTTAAAAACTGTAATATTACTTTATTTCTTCCCCTAATCATGAGTAACAAAGGGCACAGAGGCCTTTGAGGCAAAGAAGACAGATCATAAAGGAATATGGTGGTGCCTAGGAATCTGGAGTTGAATGATGTCAGAAATTCAGACTTGCTTTTATGATACTATTTGGATACCACGTTTTTAAAAACAAACAAACAAAAATAATTCTTGGGGAGCTGGAGCAATAGCACAGCAGGTAGGGTGTTTGACTTGTATGTGGCTGACCCGGATTGATTCCCAGCATTCCATATGGTACCCCAAGCACTACCAAGAGTAATTCCTGAGTACAGAGCCAGGAGTAACCCCCATGCATCACCGGATGTGACCCAAAAAGCAAAAAAAAAAAAACCACAAAAAAACAAAAACTCTTGGGCTGGAGAAGTAGCTTAACAGGCTCGAGCATGTGTTTTGGTTGAGGGAACCTTGTATTCTCTCCCAGTAACTTCCAGGTACTACCAAGCACCAAGCCAGGGCTAGCTCCTGAGCACCGTGGTATGGCAAATAAATAAATAAATAAATAAAACCCTACCATGAATTCCTTTTTTTCCGAAATTTTATTTATTTTTAGCAGAGCAAACCCAGCAGGGCTCAGCACTTCTGGTTGTACGACTGTTCTGCTTCAGAGTTCTGTATTTCTGGTGTTTTTCTTGGGGCAGATTTTCCTTCCCCTAGCCACCCTCTCCTCCTTGTTTCTTCAGCAGCAGGATAACTGAAAATTTCTTATTCAGACCTTAGTTTCTGTTCGGGGACAGCTCCTTTACTCTCTGTGTTAGCGTGGAACTTCTTTCTCACAGCTGAAAGAGAAGTAAAGGCTGGAGTTAAAGTATAGTATGCAGGGTGCTTGACTTGCACGCAGCCGACCCGGGTTCTATCCCAGACATCACATATGATCCCCTGAGCCCCCAGAAGTATCTGTGAGCTTAGAGTCAGGAGTAAGCCCTGAACGCAGCTGGGTATGACCCCAAACAAAACAAAATAAAGAAAATAAGCATAAAAGTAAAAAATGCCAGATGGAGGTAGAGAGATAGCTTAGTGGGCTGGAGCACATGCTGAGTAGCCCCCTGAGCACTCTGGATGTGGCCCTCATCTCCCAAAAGTCCCAGATGGTAGAGAAATAGACCCCCTTTTCAGAAGTCCTTTAGACGCAGCATTTTTCTAACCTTAGGTTATTTAGAAGGATGGGAAAAAAAATCTTGCCTGTTTGTCAGAACAGAAGAACCAGATGCTGAGTGATTCCTAATAAGTGGCCCAGAATCTGACTTTCAACTCATTAATTCTGTTGGCTGTATCAACAGGGGTATTTTCCACATCTAGTGATCATATGCTGACTTCAGCAAACTTCCTCATTCTGCATTCAGTTTGGTATGAACTGCCACCCTCTCCAGCTCCTTAATGACTTTAGGATGTCAAATCAAAATTCTGTTTCCAAAGGCCCCAGTCATTTTTGCAATAAACACTTTAGAGAATGCACAAACTGATGTAGGCTTTGTTTAATGTCTTCCACCTTAAGTGTTTCCACCCACCGTTCCTTCTTCTTTCTCAGATACACATATTCTCTCCTCTCTCTCCGCCCCTCTCCCTCTACCAACCTTCCCCCCAACACCTAGTTTTGCCCAACAAAAGCTGAAGCCCGAAGGAGTGCTGCGAAGATCGCCCTCATGAACTCTGTGTTTAATGAACACCCTTCCCGAAGAATTACTGATGAATTCATTGAGAAGAGTGTCTCTGAGGCGCTGGCATCTTTCAATGTGAGTGATTTGGAGTCAGAAGGAAGCGTTGGGGGATGGGAGAACTGGCTGGCTGGGAAGTCTTGGAAATTACTGGGAAACGGCACAAATTCTTGTTTTCTTTCCCGTCTGCATCTCTGCTCTGTTTATTCTGTCAGGTTATGTGCTCCATATGTCTGTCTGTAATTACATGTGTATGTTTACAGTTATTTGGTCTCTCTTCATTGTGTCTTTTGCGTATCTGGAAACCTTTAATTTAAGATTTATGGAAAAAAATATTTATGGAATTTTAGAGATATTCAAAAAATTTTTGATTTTGAATTTCGCTTTTTATACTTTTTGCTTAAGACCTTATTCCCTGGGCCAGAGAGTTAGATCAAAGAACTGAGTACATGCTTTGAATGCAAGAGGTCTAAAGTCACATGGTACTCAGAGCAAGAAGCCTGGGGTCACAGGGTCCCCAGGAACCACCAGGAGATGGCCCCTTCCCCCAGATCTTTCATAATAGTTCCAACACTGCTGGGTATGGCTCAAATGAAAAACAAAACAAAACAAAACAAAACAAAAACCATTAGTCTCTATTTCTTTCACTTTCTTCTTGTTAAGGTTTATTTATTTGGGGGTGGGGGTTTGTCCCATATCTGAGAATATTTGAGGATGGAGTCAAGGTTTGTCTCATGCAAGGCAAGCTTTTTATTATCTTCATATTATCTCTCAGCCCCTGTTCATTTTACTAATCGACTGTTTGTACTGTCACTTTTCTCCTGCCTCCTTTATTTCATCTTATTTATAAAAAACACTTGGTAATATAGTGTCTTTGTCTCTTTTTCCCTTGAAGATGGGGAGAATAATTTCTTTACTCTGTTTTGAAAAATCATCTGGGAGGCAGGGAGTCAGCTCAGAGGGCTGGAACATAGGTTTTCCCTGTGGAATCCTCAGGTTCAAAAACAGCACCAGTTGGGCCCCCAAACACTGCTAGGAGCAGCACAGAATAAAGGAATTAAAAATAAATTAGGGGGGGCCAGAGCAATAGTACAGTGAGTAGGGTGTTTTCCTTACATGCAACCTTAGTCCACGCTCCCCTCTACAGTTTCATTTTTTTTCACACTAGGCTTGTAGATCAGGCATGACAGTATATCTGACTTCTGCCCGTGGAACCCAGAAAATGCCTATGGCAGAAGCAAAGGAGGCAAAATAGTACCCAGTAGTTACCTTGCTTATTGCTATTGCAGCTAGTCTTTATTTATTTACTCATTTAGGACTTTGGGTCACTACTCCTGTCTCTGTGCTAGAGATCACTCTTGGTGGGGCTCAGGAGTGCCAGGGATGCAACTGAAGTTGGTTGCATGCAAGACAAGTGCCCTCCCTGCTATTCTATTACCCGGGCTTTAAGTTAGATATATATATTTTAAATCCTTGAATGAAACTTTATTTAAATACTATGATTTACAAAGTTGTTCACAGTATAATTGTTTCAGGTATTCAATACTCCAACAACAGTCTCACCACCAATGTGCCCTTTTCCCCACCAATGTCCCCAGTTTCTCATTCCCCCAAATTTGCTCCTTTAGCAGACATAAAGGTAAAGGTAAAGGCCCTCCCATTGATCGTCGATTTGCTCGAGCGGGCCCAGTAACGTCTCCATTGGAGACTTTATTGTTACTGTGTCTGGCATATCGAATACTCTCTGTAGCTTGCCGGGCTCTCCGAGAGGGGTGGAAGAATCAAACTCGGGTCGGCCATGTTGGCCGCTTGTAAGGCAAACGCCCTACCCGCTGTGCTATCACTCCTGTTTCCTGTTACAACATATAACATGTAAAACAGTGTTACTAAAGTCATAGTCTGAGGATTTACTGAGCTGTTAGTACCAGGATGAGCCTCCTGCTTTATTGTGTTCATTCACTGAGTTTAGTGGACTTCTACTCAATTTTCCCATCTAATTTTCTGCATTTCTCCTGGGCTGTCAGCTCTGTGAAGTTTGAAAGTTTTGTGTGGCCACATATGTGGCTGCAGGCTGCATGCTTCAGGACTTGGAGCTGGAACAATGAGCTACCAGTGTTTCTTTGGTGTCTCTGAGATCAGTTGTGAAGCCAGGCCATTTCTCTGGGAGTGGTGGGAGCCAGATGTGAGTGGGTGGAGTGCTGAACCTTTGGCAGGGTGGGCACTTGGACTGCCCCCATCCCACTAAGGCTCCAGAGAGCTGGGCCCTATGGTTGCAGGGGGGGGGTCCCCTGGGATAACTCAGCTGTTGGCATCTCTCTGAGATCAACTATGAAGTCTGAGTCAGACATTTTAAATTTAAGTATATAGGCAGTGCTGTATGACATGATCATCCTAAGAGAAAATCTATTTGTTTCCCCCCTCCCACCCCCTTTGTTACCAGGGCAACAGGGAGGAAGCAGACAACCCCAACACAGGGATTGGTGCCTTCCGGTTCATGTTGGAATCCAACAAGGGCAAGTCAATGCTGGAGTTCCAGGTATTGGTCCGCCTGCTCCCCCAGCTCTAATAACCGCCTGCTGGACAAGCCTCCTCTGAACATCTGACTAATGAAACTGAGTCAGAAAGGGAGAGAAGTTTGTTAAATAATGTTTGAAATATAAAGTTCTCCCTTACCCCCATGGGCATATCAGAAATGGGGTGAGAGATACTTCCACAGTATGTTTTGTAAAAAGCTCCCCCATGTGTCACCCTGATGGGGGCCCCCAGTGGAGACACCCTTGTCCCAGCACTTGCTTGTCTTCTTCTCCCAGGAGCTCATGACCGTTTTCCAGCTGCTGCATTGGAATGGCAGCCTCAAGGCCATGCGGGAAAGGCAGTGCTCTCGGCAGGTGAGGACCTCGGTAGGAGAACGTGGCGGGAAGAACTTGTAGAAGAGATGTGTGAGAAGCAGGTGGGCCTCTGGTAGTGCCCTGTCCTTGGGTCTTTGCACTGGACCATTGGCCTAGCTGAACATTGCTGGGAGGCTTCCTGGAACTCCAGAGTTCCAGGGGAAACCAACTCCCCATTCCATCCCCCCCCCCAAAAAAAAGTTGGCTGTGGTTCACATTGTGAATCATGAAAGGCTTCTTTAGAGAGTCCATGTCACTTCCATCAATCGTCTACTTAGATCTTGACTCCTTTGCCAGCGATGTATCTTCCCTGCTCCATCCCCCCACCCCCAAGTGAGATATATCCCTTAAGAAATTTTGTAGAGGGGCTGGTGTGATAGCACAGTGGGTAGGGTGTTTGCCTTGCATGCGGCTGACCCGAGTTCAATTCCCAGCATCCCATATGGTCCCCTGAGCACTGCCAGGAGTAATTCCTGAGTGCAAAGCCAGGATTAACCCCTGAGCATTGCCGGGTGTGACCCAAAAAAGCAAAAAAAAAAAAAAAAGAAATTTTGTAGAGAAGGCTGGAGCAATAGTAGAGTGTGTTAGGTGCTTGCCTTGCATGCAGCAGATTGGGAATCGATCCCCAGTATCCCATATGGTTCCATGAGTCCCACCAGGAGTGATCCCTGAGCATAGCAGGAGGAGTAAGTCTTGAGCTCAGCCAGGTGTGACACCCAAAATAAAAGAAAAAAAAAAAGAAAGCTCCAGCGAGGACTGGAGAAATGACTTTGGTCAGGATCCTCAGCAAAGCTTCCAGAGGCTCCTGTGGTACAGACACAGTGTGAATCTTCCCAAAGTCAGTAACCTTCATACTTGTCTTCCCCCATCCAGGAAGTGTTGGCCCACTATTCCCACCGGGCCTTGGATGATGACATTCGCCACCAAATGGCACTGGACTGGGTGAGCCGGGAGCAGAGTGTTCCTGGGGCACTGTCGAGAGAGCTAGCTGCCACAGAGCAGGAACTGGACGAAGCCCGGCTGGCGGGCAAGGAGCTGCGTTTCCACAAGGAGAAGAAAGACATCCTCACGCTGGCTGCAGGGCAGCTGGGCAGCGTGCATCCTCCCAACTGCTAGGCCTCCACCCCTGCCCCAGACCTTTCGATAGGTCCTTTCTAAGATTTAGTGTGATTTCTGTACAGATGGTCCCAATTTTATACTTTAAGATATAGAGCTCTATATGTGTGTATAAACCCCACCCCTGGATTCCTGTTTGCCGAGAGATCCCTTTTCTTATTTCTAGTCTTTGGATGGAGCTTCCTTTAAAACAGCTCCACTTCACTTTATAAGATTGACAGCCCATCTTTGGAGCTTAGCTGCCTTTTAGCTAACAGCCCGGCTTCTGGGTTGTCATTATAGTAGCAGGAAATGACTGACCAGGCATTCATGCCGCCTTCCACAATAACATGGTGCTTGTATAAGAACTCTCTGTCCCCCTCTGTGACCCCTCCCCCCAATCCTGTTTTGTCTGGGACTCAAACAAACCAAGTTGTTCCTCAGATATTTCCTTGCTAACACTACCCCCTCTTCACCATCACCTTACTCTGCCTTCAAATGGTATTTTACTTTGAGGTTTCTGTACCTTAATCCTTAGAAAACGTTTCTGATTTTCTTATTTTTTTTTTAAATAGTTATTCCTGGGAAACTTCTCCAGAACAAAAGATGAGTTACAGACATAGTTCAGAGGAGCTTATCCGCTAAAGTGCTTCTGTAGCTACCTGATAGGGAGTCCAGATTTCCAGATATGCGCTCTAGTGCAGAAGGGGTCGGGGTAGAAGTTGCTTTTCTTTCAGAATTCCTTTTTTTTTTTTTTTTTTTTTTGCTTTTTGGGTCACACCCGGCGATGCACAGGGCTTACTCCTGGCTCTGCACTCAGGAATTACTCCTGATGGTGCTCAGGGGACCATATGGGTTGCTGGGGATCGAACCCAGGTCGGCCGCATGCAAGACAAACGCCCTACCCACTGTGCTATCGTTTCAGCCCCCAGCATTCCCTTTTGAACCTGCCCCGGGCTCCCAGAGTTTAGTTAAGCTAAACTCCTCCAGAGATCAGTAGAAATATATTTGTACCCTCTTTCATCCTTTTGCTCTCTGGAACCATGATATATATATATATATATATATATATATATATATATATATATATAACAAAGTTGCTGCTGTTTACTCCCTGAGATATACATACCTTAAGTTCACATTTGTTTTCTCTTTTCTCTTCCTTCACCATGATTTGTTTTAATTTTTGATGAGGTGCTGGGGATCAAACCTTGCACACGCAAAGCATATGCTCTCCTCCTGGGCCTTCACATTATTAGAGCATAAATTCATGAATTGTTCTGGGAAACTAGATGCATTCTAGCACTTGGAACTAGAGAATGCTGGAGGAAAAGGAAAATGAATTCATCTTTTCCCTTCCCCCTCGTCTCTCCGGGTGAAATAGAAGAGAAAAAGAACTGTTATAAAGCACAGTTAAAGCATAGCACTAAGATTTATTTGCCTTCCATTTCTGTAATCTCCTTTATATTATATATCATAGTTCAGTGCACCTTCTAAACTGAGCTGGGGAGTATAATGCTCCTACAATTACTTGCCACTTAATGATTACACACTTTGCTTTTAGAAATATATTAGGAAACAGCCCACACTGTGCTCTTTTGGATCATAACAGAGGGACAAGATTAAAGTCAGATTTCTTGCATTATGAAGTCATCTTGTGACCAGTCTGTATGGGATCAGAGGTAAGAAATCTAACAACAAAAAAAAAAGAAAGAAAAAAAGAAGAAAAAAGAAATATAACAAATTATGCTTGAAAGAGGTTTCCAAGAACTCCCAAAGTCCCCCCCCCCCCCCCCCCCCAGTGTTCTCTGAAGTTCTTGCAGGACCTGAGTAGAAGCTCCTTCGTAAGTAACAGGGGCATTTATTCTGTTTCTATTGATATTTATCATTCAAAATCCAGGTGCCCTTCTATGCTTCTTTCTCTGGGAAGTGCTCAGGGAAATGAGTTGTAGGGAAGAGTTTTCTGCGAGCCTCCTGGATTTGTTATTTTTCTCGAATACTAACCAGTCAGATCCTGAAGAACTTGATAAACAGTGTTCCCTGATCTCTCCACTTCTGGTGTTAAAGATTTACTTATCTTTTTAGTACTTTCTATGTATTTTATACTTATTAATTTTATACAATTAAAAATAGATTTTTGCCTAGTGAGCCATATTGACTCATTCTTGAGGCCTGTATATCCGAGTTCTAAAATGACACTTTCTCTTACATACATACTTAAAAAATCATTAGTATTTTGGGGTGGCAAAAATGTTATACTACTTGGGTAGGACATTCTGCTCCCTTGTCCAGATATTTAAGGAGCTTTGATTTTGCTCTTGGCTTTACCATTTTCACTGGCAATTTTTCTCACTGCAATGGCTTTAATGCTCTCATATGCACAATTCCCAAATCAATTTTTTCTACCCCAAACTATATTGCGCCTTTACATCTATGTATCAACATATTGGAAATCATTATCTAAATATGAAATTCCTTGAACTCCATATCCAGTACTAAGTCCCTTTCTTCATACATGCTTCTGACTTGACTCCCCAAATCTTAATTGCCATGAACTACTCCTTTATGCAAGGTAGACTGTCCTCATTTGTTCTCTACCATCCTGTAACATCACTTACCAGTGCATGTGCCTCCTTTATAAACTTTCTAGGGGAAATAGGGACTGGAGCAATAATACAGCAGGTAGAGCACTTGTGTTGCACACCACTGACCCTGGGTCTATTCCTATATGGTCCCCAAAACACTGCCAAGAGTGATCCTAGAGTAGAGAGTCAGAGGCAAGCCCTAGGCACCACTGGGTGCAAGCCCCAAAAGGAAAGCTATCTGATATGTTTTATCTGTATTGACAGCCTTGATTCTGTCCTTTCACTGCTTCTGCCTGGACTACTGCAATAACTTCTTTTTTAAAATTTTTTTTTAAATTTATTTATTTATTTATTTATTGAATCGCTGTAGGAAAAATTACGAAGCTTTCAAGTTTAGGTCTCAGTCATGCAAATATCAATCACAATTCCCTTTACCAATACTTATTTTTCACCACGAAGAACCCCAATAAACCCCCACCCTCCCAACCCCCCCAATGTCTGTGGGGTAGATGAATTCTAGTTAACACTCTGTCTACTTTGACTAGCTTCATTGTTTTGATAAAAGTTGCACCATTATTATTTAGACTTTAGCCCCCCACCCACCAAACTCAGCCATGCTGAAAAAGCGTTGTGAAATTATCTGCTTTCTACAGCTGGGTTCAAGAATTAAATGATGTCGCGCGGATCCTGGCCGCGCGGTTTTGGATTTCTGCTATTTTATTTATTAACCCTGCAAGTATTTCTACTGAGAGTCAGATAATTAAGAGATTGGTCTCTGTGCTTCTGGGGCCGTGGCCGTGTTGGAGAGCTGCTCGTGGGGGGCAACTGGTGACCTCAGTCGGGCGTGAAGGACGGCCGGAGCGCCCTCCGTCCCATGAGGTTTCAGTCGCACCCCCACCCCCGGCTCAGACCTGCTCTCCACCAGGCTCCCATGCGGCCGCCATCTTTTTGCAATAACTTCTTGTCTTATTTAAAAAAAAAAGGGGGGGGTGATGCCAGAAATCAAGCCAAGGGCCTCATACATGCAAGGCAAGTGCTCTACTGCTAAACCAGTCACTAGTATGTCTTTTTTTACTTATTTATTTATTTTGTTTTGTGGTAACACCCGATGATGCTTAGGAGTATCAAGTACCCTGCCTGCTGTACTATCTCTCCAGCCCCACCAATCTTCATTTTTAACATCCTACATGCTACTGACAGATTTACTGATTTCTTTATTTGGGTTTTGGGCAACATCTGGTGGTGCTCAGGGCTTATTCCTGGCCCTGCACTCAGGAATCATTTCTGGTAGACTCAGGGGACCACATCTAACCTGTGTCGACTGTATGCAAGGCAAGTTCCTACCTGCTATACTATCACCCCAGTCCCTATTTTCAGATTTCTCTTAAGACATTTATGATTGTACCACTCACCATCTCCTCACTATTTTTATAGCATTTCCCAAAATTTGAGAATTCCTAGTATTACTAGGAGATGATTTTAGGTGGTAAAGGAACAAACATTAAAAAAGATTTACCAGGGTCTAGAGAGATAGGACGGAATTATGGCACTTGTATATGACTAACCTTGGTCCAATTCCTAGCACAACATTTTGCCCCCTGAGCCCTGCCAAGAGTTATCCCAGAATAGACTCAGTTGTAAGCCCTGAGAATAGTTGTGCATAGCCCCAAAACATAACAAAGAAAAATTACTGGTTATGATTTTATCTGAGTTTGTAGTGAACTTTCCATTTATGACATTGACATTTAAATTTAGTGTAAGTATATATTTTGAAAATCAACTTAAGGAAAAATGCTATTAAAATAGTGTGGGGCTATTTATATGCAAGAAATCATGAATCTGCAAATACTCAAGTAGAAAAATTTCTTGCCTACAAGATAAATCCCAAAGCCCTTAGTATGGCATACAATTTGGCTCTAAATACTAGTTACAGCTTTATTTTTTTAAGTCATGCAGTCTGAGGCATAGGGAATTTCTTGCCATTTTAATATCTATTCATTTAATAAATATTTACCAAATGTCTAATATAAGCCAGACATTAGTCTAAACTTTGGGGATATCTGTAAATAAGAGTTCCTGACCTAAGGATTACATTCTGTGGAAAAAGCAGACAAACAAGTTAGAAAGTAAACACTGTATTAAAGATTAGACTTCAGTTCTGTAAAGAAAATAGAGTGAAGGGAAGGAGACGAAGAAGACCCCTCTGTGTGGCAGGAGCATTTCAGGAACCTGAAAAGAATGAGGATGAAACAGCTGAAGGAGAAAGTAAAGAAAGCAGGACAGAAAATCAGGACCAAGGCCTTGAGAGGGGAGAGTCTGACTCAAAGAGGGAAAGTACTGGGAGAACTTAAGTGGTGGTGCAAGAGGTGGTGTAGGCTGTAAGGTCAGAAACCTGCAAGCAGGGGTGTGATCCCAATGTTTTCCTAAAAGATCACACTGTCTTCTCTTGCCAATGGACTTAGTGTCCCCTCACCTTGATACAACCAATTGCTCTCCCTAGAAAACAACCTCACCCCCGTGGCAGCACATATGGAAAGCTTTACACCAACTTGTCTCAGAAACACTCTGCACTGCAGCTGCTGAGAGAGGAGGGAGGGCACCCCCACCCCCTCACTCCTTTCAACCTCCAGGAAAGGGATCCAAAGAAATAGGTAATGGGGGAGAGGACAGGGGTATGGCGCTTGTCTAGCACACAATCTGTCTAGCACCACGGAGCAAGCATCATGAGCACAGAGGCAGAAAAATCACACACACACACACACACACACACAAATTTTTAAAATGTGACAGAATGACTAAGGGTAGTAAATAGTGGGTTACAAGCAAGCCCCCGTATAGGTAACTCTCTCTCTTAGATAGAGCCCACACTTGAAGGAGCAGGAGGACAGGACTGTCACCCATGAGCTTGCAGTAGGAATGGGGCAGGGACAGCAGATGGCAGTAGGGAGAGGGAACAGGGACAGGGAAAGGGCACAAATAGTCTGGGTCTCCAGAGCAGGCGTGTAGTCCAGAGACACACCAATGAGAGACAGCCTGAACTTCCAGAGACCTTGAACCCAGAAACTGGAGTGAGGTCAGGATATGAAATACTGGGTCCCAAACACTGACCAGAGCTATCAGGTAAATAATTCTGACTCTAAGCATACGGTATGTTTGTAAGTTGTGTAAACTCAAGAAAGAGGCATAGCACACAGCGGCGGTGGCTCTATCTCTCCCGCTGCCCGTGTTCGGTAGTCTCACGCCGCTTCCCCCACCCCGGGGAGGTCGATGCCAATGGGCAGGCAAGGGAAGGAACGAAGGCCAGGCTGGTTGGTCTTAGTCGCAGTTTATTCCAATCACACCAGTCTCCCTTCTCTGCCTCTGCCTCTCCTTGCTCATTCTACAGTCTCATTATATCTCTCTCCATGATGAATTGGGGGAACAATTACACATAGGTGTGGTCATAATCAATAGGGATAGAATTCTTTCCCTCATCGAAAGCCGCTCCTAGGACAGATCCTCTCTCAGCAGGACGATCCACCCTAGAGCGGTATCCCATGGGTGTGTTTCTCCTCTCCTTGTCCAACAAGCATATAAGCATATATAATATAAATCATTTTGTATGGATACAGTAAGAAATATCTTAAACTTATAGAATTGTTCTCCTAGGGCCATCTCGATCTCAGACTACAGTGCTCAGGCCAGATAGTCTTTCTCACCCCTAGCAGGATCCTAGTCTTGTCGTTACCTTTGGATCATGACAGCATTTGTCTATGATCAAACTCTTATAGTTAAGAATCGTGGTACTTTGTCCTGGCCCATTTCGATGCCAGGGTAGCTCACCGCTTGCCCTGGGTCCATTCAGTCCCTCGTTGGGACCCTGCTTTTGGGGTGTTAGGAACTAAGGGCAACTGAGGCTTATGTTGAGAAAGCAGATGACTGGCAGTGAATAATATTCAAAGCCAATCAAATCCTGTTACAAAGCATAATGTTAACGGTCTTCCTGTATCTATACAAAAAGGGCATTGCTTTAAAGTAAACTGTTCATAAGGCATAAGGAGAAGAGAAAGGCAATATTTCACTCATACATATAAAATCATAGATTTCTGAGGAATCTAACCTTACAAGTTAGCAGAGTCTGATTAGGGGGAAAGCTGATTAACTGGTTGGGGAGGGGAGCATAGGGAAGAATGTTTACAGATAAACACAATGGAATAGAAGTGCCTCAGGAGCACTGTAACGGGTTCATCGATTTGCTAGAGCGGGTCCAGTAATGTCTCCATTGTGAGATTTCTTGTTATTGTGTTTGGCATATTGAATACTCTCGGTAGCTTGCCAGGCTCTCTGAGAGGGATAGAGGAATTGAACCTGGCTCAGCCTCAGGAGCACTGTAATGGGTGTAACCTGTTAAACCTAAGCTCCTTGTGGAGGAAGGACAAAGCAATGTCATTCTACAGTAAGTCATTCATCCACTGCCCAAAAACCCTTTGGGAGAAAAAAATCCACTTGTCATAGTACTTGTGGCAGCAGTGATCGCTTCCATGACGTCCTCATGGAATGCTTGCTTTATAGTGAAATGATTCTTTTATATTGTTAGCACCTAGCGGAGTATTTGGAACTGCCTGGAAATCTAACAAGTCTGCAGTAGTTCAGTCTCCATTGAGGTTCCAGAATTCGGGTTTTGAACCGTAACTAACCACACTATTCTCATAGGAGATAACAGCTACTGTTTTGTTTAAAATCGTGACTTTTTTTAAATTCCCCGAGGCGGTAGGGAGAGTTTGGAGGTTTCTTTGTCTCCCAAGATTGGTACCATCTCACCGATCACATTTACTACCAAGTCAGTTGATTTCTGTAAAGTCCTGAAACACCTTTTTGCACCGCAGACTTTTTTTTGGTGTGGGGGGGGGGGGGTGCGGTGATTGTGGGGTTGAACCCAGGTCCCAGCACACGGGCCGCAAGGCAAGTCCCAACCTAGATCCCTATGCTGTTTTTTTTTTGTTTGATTTTTGTTTTTTAAATAACTCTTCTAGCAAACCTATGTGATCCTCAGAGCAGCAAACAGGTCAGATCATTTTGAGAGAGACAAAACCTCCAACTTGCAGCTCCTTGTATGGAATGAAAAAGAGACAGGAACCAATCCTCTGAAAAGAGAAAAAGGGAGGCTTAGCAGCCAAAGGTTTCCCTTGTCGGTGGCCGTAGTCGAAGAGAACTCTTCCCCCACACACTCCCCGACTCCGCCTTCCTCTTAGCTGTCCGTCAGAGTACGACCAAGTTCGGCTCGCGACCTACTCAAGATGGCTACAGGCACACTTCCGGCGCCTTCCCCAATTAGCTCCGCCTTCATTGCGTCTATTAACTGCGCCGAGGGCGGGCCCTAGAGCTGGGCTTTGATTGGTCAAGTTGACTGGCGACAATTCCCGTGGTGCCTTGAGCACGGGCTGCAAGGAATCTGGGCAAGATGGCGGACGTGCTGGATCTTCACGAAGCGGGAGGCGAGGATTTCGCCATGGACGAGGATGGGGACGGTGAGGACAGTGGAGGCGCTGGCGGGAAGTGGGGAGAGTGCGAGGAAAGGGCCGGAGCTGAGCTCGCGCTCCCCGGCTGGGCGGAGCCCGTGAGGCAGAGCCGCGGCCGGGTCGGAGACTCCTCCCCTGCGGGAGCCGGGCTACCTACAGGGAGGGAGGTGCAGGAGCCGCTTTCCCGGGGAGAGTAACTGTCTCCCGTGCACCGCACGCTTTTACCCTGCAGAGAGCATCCACAAACTGAAAGAAAAAGCGAAGAAACGGAAGGGCCGAGGCTTCGGTTCGGGTGAGTCGCGGGGGAAAAGTGGAGTTTGCGCTCGGCGGGAAGGAGGGGCTTCCCGGTGACGGCGCGTGTCCTTGCAGAAGAGGGGTCCCGAGCGCGGATGCGAGAGGACTATGACAGCGTGGAGCAGGACGGAGACGAGCCCGGGCCGCAGCGCTGTGAGTCCCGGGGCGCCTATCGGGATCGGGTCCCCTCTCTCTTTGCTGGAGGTTCCCTGTTCACGGACCACTCCCCTCCTGCTCCCAACAGCTGTTGAAGGCTGGATCCTCTTTGTGACGGGAGTCCACGAGGAAGCCACGGAGGAAGACATCCACGACAAGTTCGCGGAATACGGGGAAATCAAAAACATCCACCTAAACCTGGATAGACGAACGGGCTACCTGAAGGTATCTGCCGCCCACATTGTGCTCCCTCGCGTGCCGGCCTTTCTACGCGCAGAACCCCGCGGATGTTGTTGGGAGGGCTGTGGCAGATGCTTTGTCTGCACAGTGGGGACCCTGGGGCACCGCTCATTGTCTTCCGGTTTTGGGTCTGGGGAGAGGCAGGGAAGGGCACCTGTGGATCAGGACTGGCATTCTCCTTTCTCCTTGCAGGGATATACCCTGGTGGAGTACGAGACCTATAAGGAAGCGCAGGCTGCCATGGAGGGGCTCAATGGCCAGGACTTGATGGGGCAACCCATCAGCGTGGACTGGTGCTTTGTCCGGGGCCCTCCCAAGGGCAAACGGAGGTAAAGGGGAAAGGACAGCACTGTCTCAAGGAAGGAAGCAGTAGTGAGATGGATAGGGACAGTGTGTGTGTGTCCTTCTAATGGGTTCTTCCTCTTCCCCAGAGGTGGCCGAAGACGCAGCAGAAGTCCAGACCGGAGACGGCGCTGAGAGGCTCTCTAGGTTCCCTGGGGTACTGCTGCACAGGTCATCTGACACCGCAGCCTTGGAGAAATGGTCTGGGGTGGAACTTCGTTTGCATATATTTAATGTTTTCCTATTTGCTTAGCCCTTTTTTTGAATTACGAATAAATGCCCCATTTTTGTTTTCTACATTTAAAATTATTTTGCTGCCCCAGCACTGCAAGCTCTGAAGCACTATTTATTTACCATAAATAAGGCTCAGCTCCAGTCTGAGTAGAGACTGGAACAGAGGCAGGCATGCCGCCTACTGTTGGGAACTAAGAGAGGGCAGAGAAAGAAAGGAGAGAGCTTTGTTGTTTCAGAGAGTCATTACTCTTCCTGTTACTCTGAGCCAGTGGATGCTACATGAGTGCCTCTTTGGTTTCTCCTGCCGCCCTGGGTGATGCATCTGCTTGTGTCTCCAGCTGTCTGAGGACTTGAATCTCTTGTTGGATCATCTTCCCAGACCCACATTCCCTGGAGTTCTCGACACTGAGTTCGTGGGTCCCTCTCCGGCAGCCCAAGGTGAAGGCTCCATAGAGGAGCGGATCCAGAGGTGCATTGAGCAAGCCAAAGAGGAAGAGGATGTGGCTGAGGCTAGGCGGGACCTGAGTCAGCATGGCGGGAGAGAACCAGTACCACAGACCCAGCAGGTAGTAAGGTGCCCAGCAGAGGACAAAGGTCAACAAGACCAGCAGAGCCAGTCGCAGGGCCCGGAGACGAACACGGGGGCGGTTGTCTGAAGAGCGGCGGAGAGCAAGTTCAGTGGCCTGGGCTGGGAATGTAGAAAACAGACAGACTTAGATTTGGGACCACTCAGGTCCTGGTCTATGTAAGTAGGGTGAGGTGGTGAACAGGCAGCAGGGGCTGATGCTCTCACCGTACAGTAGAGATTCCTCCCCACCTGCAGTAGCAGGGCAACCTTGCTCCACCCATACACACACACCTTCCCAGTGTTACAGACATGCTGGAGAAAAGGTATCAAGACTCCACTAAGTTGCCTTTAAAACTCAGTATCTAGGACTATAGACCAGCCAGCTGGTCACCTTTCCTGAAACCTTGGCCGGGTGAACACACCTTCTAAGGATGCTAGAACTTGAGACATTCAGGAAAATGACAGTGTACTGCATCGGTAATGGAGCAGGTCAGGGCCTCCCTCCTGTCCAGTAGCAACCATCAGGAAGTGACAGGCTGGAGCAATGATTCCCAGGGCCCGAGGCTCACCAGGGTTGCCCTTCCTGCTCTGGGGGCTGGACACGCTGAGGACAATGCGGCTGTAGCAGACGGTCATAGCTGTCAGGGGCAGCAGAAAGAGGCAGGAGAAGGTGAAGAAGTTATAGGTGGTCTCTTGCCATCGAGCCTTGAAGCTGCCTTTGGTGACACACTGAGTGAAGGGGATTGGGCCAGCTCGGCGGACAGTGCGAAACAGGAAGAGCTGGGAGTGAGGTGAGGACAGTTAGAACTGGCTACCCCCTGTAAGCCCCCGTCATGCACTGCCTCTTCCCATTCAGCTGCGATTCTAGGCAGCCCCATGCCATGCCGAAGCCCATGCAGTTCCCTTTGGAAAGCTTGGAGGCTAAGTTACCTTTATCATGTCACCAGCATTCTTTTGTTGTTTTGGGGGTCACACCTGGCAGTGCTCAGGCCTTATTCCTGGCTCTGCGTTCAGGAATCAGTCCGGTGGGCTGGGGTACCATATGGGATGCCACCCTGCCCACTGTACTTCGTACTGTCACGCCGACCCTTTCACCAGCATTCTTAGCTAAAATGTTGCTGGTGTGGGTTTGGTTAGTTCTGTGAGAAAACTGAAAGGTTAAAAAAAAAACTAAAAATTGGACCCATGCAATAGTACAGCTGGTTGGGTGCTTGCCTTGCAACCTGGCATTTCATTTCCAAGCACAGAGCCAGGAAGAAGCCCTAAGCATAGTCGGTGTGGTCCAATAACCAAAATAAATAGAAAATAAAAATGCTAAAAATTCAGACCATTTTGTAACCACTTAGAAGGGACCCATAGTAGTAGTGTTACTTGTCTTAGCTGTAATGGTGAGATGAAGTTTAGTATTGTTACTGTTACTGTCTTTCTGTTCATCAGTTTGCTCTAGCTGGTACCAGTGATGTCTCACAACAAGTTGTGAGACTTGTTACTGTTTTTGGCATATTGAATACATCATGGGTAGCTTGCCAGGCTTTGCCTTGCGGGCAAGATACTCTCAGTAGCTTGCTGGGCTCTCCAAGAGGGGCGGAGGAATTGAACCCGGGTCGGCTGCATGCAAGGCAGATGCCCTGCCCACTGTGCTATTGTTTAGTATTCAGTATTGTTCAGCTGTGCTATATAAGTTCAGTATTATCAAATACATTTCCCAAATGCTGATGGCTGCCCTCTCCATTTTGTTTCAGGGTCTTTGGGGCCACAACTGGTGGTCCTTTGGCTATTCCTGGTTTTGTTCAGGAGTAAGACTTGGCCATGCTCAGGAGACCAAATGCCATAAGGGTGGGCCACAAGGGAAGTCCCTTATTCTATACTTTTCAGCTCCCTCCATTTTGTAAATTGTTGATGGTTTTGTTTGGGGACCATCCAAGCAGTGCTTAGGAGATCTAAGGGGCCTATGGTTCCATGCAAGGGTCTGGTGGTGCTGGGGTCTACCTGGATCTTGGTAGTGATTCATAGAAGGGTGCCAGGGCTACCCCCAATGGTGCTGGACAGATGTCCTGTGTGGTGCCAAGGACCAAACTTGGGGTCTAGTTTAGGGTTCAAGTAGAGTAGATGAGTCATTAATAAAAGACAAATTCAGAAAAAAAAAAAAAAGACAAATTCAGTAGGTATCCCGTCCCTATATGGAAAGCCTTTGTTAGGATTTTAGTCAGCACAAACCATCAGGGAAGGGGGAGTAGTATCTCCCACAGACAGTTTTATCAACTGCCTGGAGTTGTAATGAGGCCTCTCTGAAACAGTTGCATTTGGCTTTCCCTTTCTATAAGCCAGGTCTGGAAGGGGACCAGACAGGTGAGAGGGAAGTTGACTTTGGAATTTGGTGGGATTTTTTTGTTTGGTTTTGGGTCACACCCAGCAATGCTCAAAGATTAGTCCTGACGTTACACTGTGGAGTGCTCAGGGGACCGTATTGAATGTCAGATTGAACCAGGGTACAGGGTCAGCCCATAAGGGTGGGTCACAAGGCAAGTACTCTACCTCTTGTACTTGACTTTGGAGATGAGTATGCATCCCTGCTCTGCCTCTCCTTTTCATTCCAATGTATGCAGTGTGCCACCTCCTTCCTCCCAACTACTTCTGATACTTGGAAATGGGCCTGTACAAATCATTCCTAAGTACATAGATACTACCTTACCACACTTAAAATGTTTCTAGTTGCCAGTAATAGCTCAAGTCTAGCACACAGTGGTGCAGAATTTGGAATCAAACAGATACTGAATTTTGGAACTGAAAATGTCACCTTTTGCACCATGATCAATGTTTCTACCTGTTTGCCATTGAAGCAAACCCAGACTGCAGTTATTTTTAGCCCATGAGAAAGGGTTGAATTCATCTTCTCCCATCTGCCAATTGGTTTCAAGTGATTTAGTACATAGCTAGGTAGTAGTAGAGCCTAGACCAGGGAAAACATAAAGTAAATGAGTGCACAGTGGGACAGAGGAGCTCTAATTCCCAGTCAGCAGCTAAAATTTGCTTCACAGAACAAATTCACCTTTACTTAGGCACTGAGGTGACAAGCTGCTTTTTAAATGTTGAGAGCAGAGTTCCTATTCGCAACATATTGTTAGAGAAATACAGTCTTAACTAAATTTTGCAGTTGTATTTCTAATTTTTGCATTTGTTTTTGGGCCACACTAGCAATGCTCAGGGGTTACTCCTGTCTGCACTCAGGGATCACTCCTGGCCATGCTCATAGGACCATAAGAGATGCTGAGGTTCTAACCTGGAGGTTGGCTGGGTTGGCAGCATGCAAGGTACATGCCCTATCCACTGTACTATCATGCTGTCTTTTTAATATTCAAGGATTTCAGGATATGGATTTTTGGGGGGCAAGGAAGTGGGCCACACCTAGCAAGTGTTGAGAGAACCTTACGCTGTGCCAGGGATTGAACTGGGGTTTTCTGTGTGCAAGGCAAGCATTTTCCCTATACTATCTCTCCAGTCTCTGGGATCAGATCTTATGACTGATGCATTATTTTAGAGACATATTAGGCCACACATAATCCCTAGTTTCTTGGCAACACTGTTCTATACTCAGTCTTAAGAAGGTTTATTTTAAGGGATTGCATCCCCACCCCCTAAGTTTTTAGCTCTAGAAATTTTATATTTATCATTGAGACTTAAGTGGTACTCATTCATATATTTTACATTTTGTTTTGACATCCTTTTCACAGTAAAGAATAAAAATAAGGTATTTTGGGACTGGAGCAATAGTATAGCGGGTAGGGCATTTGCCTTGTACGCAGCAAACCCGGGTTTGATCCCTGTCATCCCATATGGTTGGTCCCCCAGCACTGAAAGGAGCAATTCCTTTGTGCAGATCCCTGAGCATTGCTGGGTGTGGTAAGAAAAACAAAACAAAACCTTGCCCCTCATGCATTGTCTTCCCCCAAAAAATCTCAAGCCTTCACTTTTTACCTCAGTTTCTCCACTGCTTTTAGGATTAAGTACAAACTTGATACTTGTATCAGCCCTTCTTTCCCCTCCAGTTACTACTTTATAGCCTTCAACTTCTGCAGCCAGTTGGAAACCCTCATTCCTATCTTCTGGCTCTGCACTTAGGGATCACTCCTGGTGGGGCTCAGGGACCATATGGAGTGCCGAGCATCAAACCCAGGTCAGCAGTGTGTGTGACAACAGCCCTACCTACTGTACTACCTCTCCAGCCACAGTAAAGTTTTTATATCTCTGGAAAGCTTACCCTGACCAAATAACAGGTCAGAATCTCACTCCTCACCCCACCGTTCTTTAGCTCCTGTTTTTACCTTTAGCATAACAGTTGTTGCACAGATTTGTAATTTCATGCTAATTATTTTCTGGGCTAGTCTACAAAATTTTGTACTGTTCTGGGACCACATCTGGTTGTGCTTGGGTGTACCCCCTGGTTGTGTCAGAGTACCATAGGTGGTTCTGGGGATTGAACTCAGGTTGGCCTCAT